ACATGTCAAACTGACCATACTTTGGACAATACTGGTGCTGGCATCAGTCAAAAGAGTCGGGAGCAGTGGATAATTTTCAGACTGTCCTGGGGAGCATCCAGCTCAGATTCCCAAACATACATGTTATGCTGAGCATGTCAGCCTAGCAGCAGCAATACAACAAACATTTCAATGCACATACCTAGTAAACCTGAATGCCCCAAGTTTAGTGCACACTGTATAACCACAGGTCGGTGCTAGCCTCTGCGCAGACAGTTAATGCTCCAAGGATTTCACATCGGAAAAACTGTTAACTTCAGGTAAAAATGCTATGCTATTTTCCATGACAAATTAATGAATATTGAACACAAGGAACACCAGCATCAGTTCGCCGATGTCACAGGCGTCCGGCGCAGTGGATCCTTTCTACATGGCTTTACCTGTTGGAAATCACAAACTTTCCTGCGTGCACATTACACCAGTATCACGTGCACAACTTTTAAAATAGATATGTCTATTCAACCGACCACGTGCACCTCTATGCCGACTCCGGGCAAATTCTAGACAATAGCATTTGTGTACAGCGGGGAACTAAATGTCACAAAACCTTCACAACCGTATATGAACAATTTGGAAGTAGTACTGCCATATAAAATATACAGAATCCCGCGCCATCACCAATAAAAATAGCAGGCGTCGAGGATCGCAAATTTCGCAAATACGAGAAATAGGTTATGCCTTACCCTACACAGGAGCGGATCCAGAGTGAACGGGGAGAGATAGGAGGGGGGGGGGACACTGGGCAATGCCCTCTTGTGCTTCAAAGAGGCACACAGGCCCCGAATGCCGACCAATGCCGACAGAGCCGACCAAACAGACGCAATTTCTTCTAACATGAGACGTAACAATATGGGACGTGTTAAGCGGCTTCCAGGCGACCAAGAAGAGTCACAAACGGATGTGAAGGGCCCAAGAGAAGACAAGAGTGATTCTTCACTGATTAAATGGGTGGTGACTGGGAAGTTTTAAGGCCCCTTACACTGCTCAGAGGCCATACGCTGTTGCTGGAGGTCCCTTGTGTCCACTTACAGGGCCAATCCGATCGTTAAGGAGCCGTCTAAGTTGTCCTTATTTTTTTGCATTGGCTCGAAGGGCCCCGCGTTGCTGCTGGCATTCTTCCTGCTAGCGAACCGGGCACTCCTGTAAATCAGGGCCTTCCACGGATGTTTCCCATTCAACCTAAAGTCCTATCCGCCCTACTCCCAACGCATTATACATTATTGTATATTTTATACATTATATATTATATGCAAATACAATACAATAATCTGCCTGCCAAGATGTCTTCGGTTGTTCAGCGGCATTCATGCTGGCCTCAGTAAACGTATCGACACACTCACGATACGCCCATGGCCCTCCATATTGGTCCAGGGCTCCTCCAGTTCTCTGTCACTTGTTTAGGGCCCTACGCTCTTGTCGGGGGCCCACCTGTGAATTTGTTTGGGCACGCTCGGTCGTTCGGGGCCCTTCAGGCTGGGACTTGGGTTCTCTCGTTTTGAATGCAGGGCCCCGCATTTCTGTCGGGGGCCATCTGATAGCCTGTTCGGTTACACTCGATCTTTCGGGGCCCCCCACACTAGGTTTTGGGTACTCTTATTTGAATGAAGGGCCCCGCGCTCTCGCCGTGGGCCCTATCTGATTACCTGCCAGGACACACTCGGTCGTTCGGGGCCCCCTACATTGGGTCTTGGGTAATTCTTACTTGAATGGAAGGCCCTATGCTCTAACCGGGGCCCCATCTGTTCGCCTGCTCCGGCGCACTCCGCCGTTCGGGGGCCCTCTACATTTTGCCTTGGGCCCATCCTAATTGAATGGAAGGCCCTACATACTTGTCGGGAGCCCTGTCTGTTCACCTCGGGCACACTGGGTTGTTCGGAGACCCATTGCGTTCTTAATGTAGGGCCCTACGCTCCTCTCGGGAGCCATCTGATAGCCTGCTTGGGTACACTCGATCTTTGGGGGTTTCCCACATTGGATCTTAGGTACTTCATATTTGAATGGAGGGTTAAACGCTCTCATGGGGGCCGCTTCTAATAGCCTGCCCAATACGTTCGATCGTTCTGGGGCCATCTTCATTGCGTCGTCTCACTCCCTTTTACGGAGCACCAGCGACTGCAGAGGCTAAATAACGCACAGAGACCATGGCGCAACTGGGGAGGGGTTAAACCTAGGCCCCTCACGTGGGAGCCAAAGGCGATAACTACCCGTCCATTGCGTACCCTTACATCGCCTTGCCTTGCGTTCCCTCAGCTATCCTCTTTAGCTAATTCGAGGTGGATGGTAGGAATAGTTCTATACAACGAAGACAACGCAAATTTCTCAGTCATCCTGGATTTTTGTATTCCAACAAGCCGCGTGTCCAGCACGTGGCGTAGGAATGTATGCCAGGAGGGGGGGGGGGGGGGAGGGATAGTTCGCCCGAGCAATTGGAGAGTTCAGTACTATTGACCTCATGGTATTACAGACAAATGAACCGAAATCCGTTTCTTTCCTTGCCTAACGTCTTGAAAGCTGCGTAGGCCCTAAATGCTGTGTAAAACGCAATCAAGTTTTGTTCTACCACGCGCCATCTCTGTAGAATCGACATGCTTCGGAATTGCTGCAGTACATGGTTTGCTAAGCGGTGCCGTGTTTCACAACAGCTTGCTGCACTGCGTGTCAGACGTAGGCGGCAAAAAACACATGTTCGTGCGTTGCTGCACCACGATTTAACGTAAGCTGATCCATTCGGTAATCCGAAACGCAATCTTTCTTGATAATTTATTGGCGGCTCTTGCAAGCGATTACCAACCAGCATTCCAAACATCATCCTGACGAGACCACTTCGTTCAACGGACATGCCCAAAACAGGGACCAAATAACATGATCAAGACATATTAGTCATGGAGCGGTTTGGTGGAAGGGCCTGCGGAACTTGTCATGGATCACAATCTCATCAGTATGACATAATTACGCGTCAAGATATTCAACAAATTTGCTCCAAGTGTTCCGAAAGTTTTATTAACTCAGAGTCTGCGCTAACAGGGTGCGTCTTTTCGACTTGGCGAAAACAACAACAAACTATTATAGTCTGCCGTCCTTTCCGTAAGTATACACGAATTGTCGCACACTTCACAATATAGTCCATTCTCCGCTCACGTTCACTGGGCCTTGAAAGACTACCACGGTCCAAGACCAGAGGTCTTGACAGCCATCCGTCAACGTTTCAGAAAATTGCCATACATAATCAACGCACATTGCCCACCAGCACTCGGCCTTCTCGATTGCAAACAAATGCAAACTACATCCGCGAGGCCGAATTCCCCGCGAGCGAACCTCGCCCCCGACAGCGGGTGGTCACAGTCGCACCAGCACCAGAGCTGTGGCTGACACGACCACGCTCCACTACAGACCGGGACCGCGGTGACCCGCGCCGGCGGCCGCAGCTGTGGCGAACACGGCGCGCCACGCGCGACCGTCAGCTACAATAAATACTGGAGAGAGCGCCCGAGGCGGGCGCAGGCCGACTCAGGTGCTGCCAACGCCGTCTGCGATCGAAAACAACGCGACGGTCAGGCAAGAACACCACAGTTACAGCGTACTCGTGGACTGGTGACGCAGCATTCGCATTCGTACGCAGACGGGACTACGCATGTGACAATCGCAAACCATGTGACGCTACGGTCCCGAGAACTGAGTACCATGTGTGACAAACTACCTTACCACTATTCCCATGTAATACCTTAATCCTTTGGGAGAATCCAAAAAACCACACGAAAGAACGCTGACAAGTCATTCAAGAGTGTGTTTGGTGTACCTTCAAAACTACAGCACACACATATCTCCACCAGGCGGTCACGGCCCCGTGCCGGCCATCAGCAAGGTAAACATCGCCGTCACTCTGCAGTGCAAAGTCGGGAAGCGATTGAGGTAAAGCTAACCACGGAAATGGTCGGAGGTGGCGCACTGGGGATTCACGAGTCACAGTACAAATATGATCAGCGGGAACACAAAAAACGAGCCAAGGAGAAACGTCGGAAACGGAACAGAGAACGCGTTGTGGGAAACAAGCGGTAACGGCAGTCTGAACAATGGCCGGCACGTATGAACCCAGCTCAAACCCCAGCGGCGATCTTACTGACGGTGCGTGGGTGGCTGACCCGTGTCATCTGGATGACTGTCTGAAAACACACCCGTACTACGCAGCACAGAGCAGGAAAAAGCACTAACCGCTAACCTGGACCGGGCGATCTTAGCCCCGGGCTACTACGCCACTGGGCAGCGTAAACATGACCCCCACCAATCACAGAGCAGTGTGTGTGATAACAACGTGAGCCGTGTATGACATTGGCCTGGAGTTACATGACACCAAGTGGCTCGGCCAATGTCGATTAGCGCCCTGAGTTCCGTGTCTGTGACCCCTGGTCATGCACAGGGCGGCGCTGAGCGGCCGGACGGGTGTCGATTCTGGCACCCAAAACCGTGTACATATGCTCCTGACCTTGTAAAGAGAGGCGCTGAGCGGCAGGGGCGGTGTCGATCTGGCGTTCCAGCCACTCCAGGGCGGGCGGCCAGCGCCAGCAGCTGGCCCAGCTCGCGCCGGCCGTGGCTCCCGGCAGCAGGCCGTACACGAGCGCGGCCAGGCCACCCAGCGCCGGCTTGGAGTCCAGCTCGCGGCTCCAGTTCCGGGCATCACCTGCGGCAACGCCGGGCCACCGGCCGTGAGAGAGGCGGCACGGCAGCTGGAGGGCCCGCTGCGGCTGGTCACCGCGTGCGCGCACACCAGCTGATGACACGCAGCGGGCTCACGAGTGTTCACACAAAGGTGAATGTGCGCCAAAAATGAGCGTATTTTGCCCCACACCGGTCCCGCAAACTAGGCGGACTGGCCCACACCCTCGAACTAACCAGCTTGTTGGCATACCTTGTCGGCATGTGCGTGTGGATCTTCCCATCGCCACCCACTTGGAATATGGAGTAGCCGTCATACCAACTGAAAGTAAAAACAGAACGATTAGCGGGCCTGGAACTGCATTTTTTATTCAGCACTTCGGTACGGCTTTCCTGCGGGGAGCTTCCAGAACTTGGACTACATCAAATTTCAAACATTTTCGATGGACGAAAAACTCACTCCACGCCGTGCTCGTCAATGCTGTTCTGGAGCTTAAAGATGTTGAATTTCCAGAACATCAACATGGACTTGAGGGCGCTGACTCCGCGGATCCTCCAGCGGATGCGGATAGAGTCGTCCTCAGGATGCGCCGAGCTCTGCAGCACTTGCAGCGTCACGTAGCTGAACTTGATGTGGCCCACTATCCGCAGCAAGGCGCACTGCTTGATGTACGGCACTATTCCCCTGCAACGAGAGTGGCACGTCACACGGCGACCGGCCCGCCCACCACGCGAGATCTCCAGCCACGGCGAACGGGGAATTACACATACTACTCGTTTTCGAAACATGCTTGCATCCCCGATATGAACGCCAGCGCTGCTGAAAGGACGCATAACAGGTTCTATCGTGCTGCAATGAGGAGGAACCATGAGCGTCACGAGAATTTAACAGCTTTTATGGATTTGATCCCTCGCTTTCATCTTTTTAAACATCTGATTTGATCTGGCAGGATGCGTAACCATGCGCACCACAGGCATGTCACCACTTACAACCGATTTCGTTCCACGTATTCTGTTGTCGAAGACAAGGTCCTTGTGGTAGATTGAGAAGTCTTGCGTCATGACAAAAATGCGCGGGAGCTGGAACAGCAGGAAGCTGATTGAATGGATCTAACCGTGGTCGAGGGCCAGTCCTGCCAACGTTTCAAACAGCGCGTGGCAAAACAATAATGCTGAGCAGTGACGATCAACGAGGCCGTGCAACCGGTGTGCTCAAGACCACATTGGATCATGGCCAGGCATAAAACGCGCAGGCCACGAAACCCTCTTGTCATAAGGCCACGAAACCCTCTTGTCATAAGGTCACAGCTCATCGGGGAAGTGACGTAACTTTAGGTCCAGAACAGACGCATGAAAACCATGGCATTATTACCTAAAATGCTATACTGAACAAACGTTAAAAAATTCGATTAAAAAACACAAGCTTAACAGGAAACAACACAACGCGCAGAGGCCCTGGGCAAGAGCCGCGTCGGTCGCCGCTCCGGGCAGGAGCGGACAGTAGTCCGTCAGCAGGCGTACGCCTGGCCGCCCAGACGGCTTGACAGCCACCCCCGACTCACGTTTCTGCAGCAGGTTGGCCTCGACGGCGCGCAACTGGTCGGGGTTGGGCCGGTCAGGGAGGCGCTCGGCCGGCGGCGGCCGCTCCGCCGGCCTGTCGGCGCCGCTGAGAGTGTGGCCGTCGGCCGGCGGCAGCGGCAGGCTGAAGGCCCGCCGCTCGCAGGCGCTGAGCGAGCCGGCGCGCAGCTGCCGCCAGTCGCCGGTGGTCTGCAGCGCGTGCGCCGCTTCCAGCGCCGCCAGCTGCAGCTGCAGCCGCGCCACGTGCTGCACCACGTGCTGCGGCGGCGCTGGCGCCGGCAGCCGCGCCTCGGCCGCCGCCAGCGCCGGCGTGCTCAAGCAGAGCGAGCCGTATGGTCGCACACGCCCTGCCAGCGCAGCCACGGCCGCAGGCGGCGGCGGCCCCTGCCGGCAAACCGCCCGCAGTCACGCGACGAACAGAACGTAACAACGATCGACGCTGTTCGCGTGCCTTTGGAAGAAAAGCTGAATATGGGCATGGGGAGGGTGACCATGACGCAACTTAAACACATGAGAAAAAATGAAACATAGAACGCAACTATGGGGCTCACCTGTTTTAAACGGAAAGCAACAGGGAATGTTCCACATTTGAAGATATTGAGGCAAGCATCACATGTGATGCAACAAGCTCACTTATAACTATAGCCATACTCAAACGAAGAAAAGACTGCCCAAGACAACACGATTGCTCTGTTTAGTAAATATGCTATTCGAAACGTCATGTTTGATTCCGCTATCGCACCTTGCACAACATTGATTGCGAGCCAGTTGACGGCCATCATATCTGGAAATCGTGCTCACGACCGCCAGATGTAAAGGACTCGACCATATCTTTCTCGGCCCTCATCATGGCATGGCTTATGAAATGGCGGGATTCAAATAGCGTAATTATGCCGTCGTGAATGCCAAGGTGGCCTTGAAAGCTCTCCCCTATTTTGGGGGCGAGTGAACGGCTCAGGAGCTAGAGGAGTTGAGGTCTTAGGAAGGGCAGGACCGTGGACTGCACCGAAAGGTCTTCAAGACGCCTATTTCAGTTCAAAACCCCATAAAAATATAGAACATTCCATTTAAGGAAGCTGCCCAAAAGAGGGGAGCAGGATGACTTGAGGTGGGGGAGACTGCAGCTCCTGCGAAGAGATAGTCCTGCTCCAGGTCTATACTATATGAGGTACTACGTCTTGCACACTTTCTTCCACCCGCAATCACGGCGCCATCTTACCATGCAGTTGAGGCCCCCCAAATCCCTAAGAACTACCTAGCCAAGCTATCTGGCACGTAAGATTTACAAATGGTGATTTTTTGCAAGAAAACATGTCTTATAGACACATAACTTCATCACTTGTTGGTGAACTATTCGTAGCTTAACACAATGAAAGCTGGTAGAGATAAGCAGAGCAAATGTTACCATCTGGTACATTGGCTGGTGCCCCGACCTCTCAGACAATCAAATTCAGCCATCATTTTTCTGACCCATTAGATTTGAGCTCACAGCCTAAAAGCTTGTTTCTGGTGGGTTCTCTGCTCGTGCTGAATACAAAACAGCAAAAACAAACTAAAAGAACACAATTTGCATCAGGAAGGTACACTAGTGCAATGAAAGTCACCAATGCAACTCGTACAAATTAGGTTTTTTCTGTGCAGCATTCAACCATTACGACTCCTTTCGGACTCTGTCTATCTGATTTTCAGACCATCCAGAACAATCCAGCAGAGGAAACTCTCTAAAACACCCAAAGCCACATACTGATCACTCATGCCTGTGATCATGCCAGATAATGCAAAATAATGGAACGCACCTCGTATTATCATACAAATGAATTTAGATACTTTCCATAACTTGGTTTTACGAAACTGCGGCCCAGGACATCGCTGTCCTTGCTCTTGAGTTTGCACGAGAGCATATTCAAACCTTTTGATGTAATTTGTTTCACTAATAGATTATGCACAGGACTAAACGCGGCAAAGGCAAACATGGGATGACCTTGTTCGTGTTTGAAATAATTTCTACCCACTCTATTTAACAATAATGACATCTCTCATTTTCCTCCGGCCAAGTGACTGCTTTACTAGACCACTAGGGGCACATTTCTGTTTCTGGTCAAGAGCTGAAGGGTCCTTCCGTCTCCTCGCGGGGTGTACTCGGGCTGCCATGCTAGCGACACTGGGCGGAATCCCCTGGCCGATCCGAATGCCCTTAGAGGGATGCATCCATCACATTGTTCCCCTCCTTGACACGGAAGGCCGTCTGAGCCGCGCCGTTGGCTCCAGATCAGCACAGGAACCCTCATGGACGCAACAACGTCCCTGATCGCCGTTGGTGGTCAGGTGGTCAGGTGGTCAGATGGTCCAGGGGGTCAGATAATCCAGGTGGTCAGGTGGTAAGATGGTCCAGATGGTCCAATAATTGTCACCCAGACTCCAGTTCCTGATTTTTACTGTGTTCTTCAGAGATATTGACGATGCCCTGAACATCGACTGTAGATGGAAATGGGGTTCTGAATTTATATTGACCTGGCTAGCCCATGTTCATCTTAAAATGTTCAACATTCAGTCATACTTGATTATGACATAAAATTATGTGACACTGTTTTAAACATGCATGGTTGCACATCTTAGCGACAGCCTCCATGTCCAGTGTTGCAAACTCCATAGTATACGCGGCGTTGGCCCCGCGGATGTGACATCAGGTGATGACCAATGCTTAAATAAAAAAGATGACACATCTGGAGGAAAATGGTTGGTGAACTAGGTAAACCAGCATGCATGTTTAGGAGGTACAAACATAAGCTGAACACAACTTAAGTCTGAAAAAGTGGGAGGGCGAGTTAACAATGCTGGCCCCCCACCTTGAAAAGTGTGTGTGTGGGGGGGGGGGGGGGGGGGGTAAATCCCTGCCCCCCTTTTCCTACACCCATGCAAAGTGTGTGTGTGTCATTGGGGCTTTACAACACATTCAGCCACTGAGGCTTGATGGCATCACCTGCCTCTCACCCTGGAAGGAAGAGCAGGCACCACAGGGAATCAAACCTGGTACCACTGGTGTCCCAGACAAGCACGCCACCACACCCACCACACACCACTACACACCCACGCAAGGCATCATTTCAAAAACCATGTTGGTAAAACACTTGATCCACACACTCACACCACATTTCATACCTGGCTGTTTCTATGGATGAAATTCCACTCCAGTGTACCACATCTTGAGGCAAGTCCCAAAGGAAATTTGATGAGCTGTGATGTTTTGAAGCAATGTGACATCTCTGTAATTTCTCCTGGATAAGGGGAAGGGTTATATCAGTATTTGTAGTCAGCAGCATGCTACAACACACACTGCATCACTTGTATGCATGCATATTTCAGGGTATAATGCTTTCAATTCAAACAGAAGATTGTGCAAAATTATGAGAAGTACAGCAGTTATCAGTTTTTTCAAAACCCAGTTTTCTACAAAACAAGCGACTCATAGCAGTCTGTCGCTTTATCAGATACTTCCTGTCCCTGGCATGCCATGTGCATGCATGATATTCATGCTAATATATTGAGTTCTCTATTGTAGCCTGTATAGCCAGATAAATGCTGGCCATTTTTCCATTTAAATGAAAAAGGATAAATCATTACTGGGAAACCTCAAAATTCCGCAACATTACTATTTGGCTAACACTTTGCTTCAGTAGCCTTGAGGGTTACAGGATGTATGAAATGTACAATCAAGTGGCCAGGTTGTCATTGCTCTGTGAATACATCTACCAAAATATTAACTTTCATAAGTTACCTAACTTGGCTTACAGCCTGTATGAATAAAACTTGGAACAAGCAGCAGTAGTCCCTGCCTTCACACAAATTTTAGGAGCTTTAAACTTGTCACTGTTGTACATTACCAATACTCCCAAAGTATTTCTAGCCATCAAGAAGGGTAGAAATATCAAGTATTATGCCAAAATTGAAAACAAAATCATGATCTGTTTTTATTAAATTTTGTGGATGCACTATGGCAATACTAACATGTTTCAACTTAAAAGGACAAAGCCCATTACAAAATTGGTTTGTGTGTTGAATGCAGAGTTGCATAAAATATATTTATTGATTTTGTTTCTCCCAGTATGGTTTTTTGATATTACCACTTTGGAAGGTTTTGGTCTCAATTAAGGCCTTACCAGATTTAAGCTGTACAAATAATACTTCATGATG